CTCTTTCCTGCCTATGCAGGGGGTCGGACTCGATGATCTATTGAGGTCCCTTCCGACCCTAACATCTATGAATCTATGAAATGATCTATGGTGGCTGATATGGTAGTTAACAACAGGAAACATCAGCATATCTTTAAAAAGTAAAATGTGCTTAAAAATAAAAAGAAGCCATATGTAACCATTCACCAGATCAAACAAATGCTTCATTACCTGAAAGAGATTTCTACTCATAACAGGCAATGCCATTTTGGCATTCTTCAATTATCTGACTCTTGGCTTTCTTTTTCTAGTTTCAGCTTATAGAAATATGCTAAAAGCTTATATATAAATATCCGGCCAAAATTTAACTGAATAGCTAGCAAATGTGTCTTTCCTCTGAAAAATCATACAAATAACTGAAATATGCAAATAATCAATATGTGATAAAGTACTGTATTATAGTAGCTGAAGACCCCAACCGGATCTGGGGCCCCTTTATGCTGAACATATAAATATCTACAGCTCTAAACAGCCCTGACTTCATTATAAGATGATAAAGCAATTATTAAGTTTGGGAATTGGTGGCAAAGAGGAGGAAGAAACCAGGGGTTGTACCTTTTACTATTATTTCTCCATTCTGATTTCATGACATTCTAGGTTTATTAAGGCAGTCAATCTTAGAAAGAAAGGGACATTCTGCAGGGCTGTCAAACAACTTGCAATTAGATATTTCCATCTCCCCAGGTAGGTTATAACTAGGGAGAGCAGCTATGAAATATGGCTCATAGGGCTGTGTGAAATGGCTATTTTTCATTCAGCCGTTTCAGAGGACAGTGATTCATTTTGGTGTTTCGGATCATTGTTCCATTTCAATTTGGCTGAATCTGTTTCGGAGTTTCAACGCTGTTTCGGTGCTGACTCGGATCGTCTGGGGAGAGGCAGGCACAGGCAGGCGACTGAAGGTTTTCTCACAGCTCCTCTGGCTGTGCCTGCCTCTGCCCCAGCGGGCAGAGCTGTGGGAGAAGCCCCCACGGCTGCCCTGCCCAGCCCCATCCGCTGCCCAGTCCCAGGCTCCTGGCACTTAAAAAAAAAAAACTTTGTACTCACTGGTTGCAGCCGTATTGCACCCACGCCATGAGGCAGCTGCCACATGGGTGCCAGAAGGGGGGGGGCATCCCCACTGCCCCCCACTGTGCGGAGGGCTCTTGCCACAAGCCCTCAGAGGCTCTGATTGCTGCTGCTACAGCTGGTGAGTGCGGGGCATTTAAAAAAAAATGTTTTTTTTTTAAGTGCCAGGAGGCTGGGGCCAGGCGGGGGCTGGGGCTGGGCAGGGCAGCCATGGGGGCTTTTCCTGCAGCTCCTCTGGCTGTGCCTGCTTCTGTCCTGGTTGGGGGAGCCACAGGAGAAGCCTTCATGGCTGCCCTGCTCGGCCCCATCTCTCGCCTGGTCCCAGCCTCCTGGCACTTTAAAAGGAGGACTGAGGGGCTGTGCTGGACTATTCCTGAGGGGTGCCTCCAAAACATTCCGAAACATTTCTGAAACTTTTTGGATAGTTTTGTTTTGCTTCAGAAATGTTTCGGAGCCTTCCGTTTCATTTTGGATTCAGTGTTTCGGGTGCCAAAACGGGCCGAAACACCTCCGAAATGAAACGGCTTCCGAAATTTCACACAGCCCCAATGGCTCCCCTTTCTCCTGCTATAAATAGAGAGAGAGAAAGCATGCATGAATGAGTGCAAGTTGGAGTGTGAGCAAGCACTCATGGCTTCAATCCATTTTAACTGCTATGCTTGGGTTATAACAACTGAAACCTTGCAAACATGGGTCTTTATAAATAAAAGACATTGAGAAGCTGAGATTAAAACAAAACAAAACAAAACAAAACAAAACAAGACATGTTTCTACCATTATTAAAGAAATATACTGTTGCAGCAAAGATTGTACGTTTCTGAAATTAAGGATAAAATAAGCTGGGATATGTTCAGAAATAGAGCTTTTCTTTAGGACTATCTGTGATAACTGATCTGCATGGAATTATGATATATTTCATGCATATTCCATTTTGATACGTATAAATTCTGTTTTTCACATCTCTTTTTAATCATGGGATGTGCCTCTCTAGTTTGAATAAATCCTGTGATGTTAATGTCTTGATCACAGTTATTTATTATATGTGACATGGTAGCAGCCATGGCTCACTGGACTAAACATTTTTTTGTTCACCTAGCTGCTCATTAAGAGAATGCATATTATCTTAGTATAGAATACAGACATATCTTTATATCTTTAGGATTCACAAAATGGTAGACATTCATTGGGTACTGATCTTGTGAATTTTTTTTACTTAAGGCCAGGGTGCTCAACCTCTGGCCCGCAAGCCAAATGCAGCCACAGAGTATTGAAATCTGGCCTGCCACATTGCCACCCCTCTCTGCTGCCAAAATCCCAAGCCCTATGGGACGGATCACAACCCTTCCTATACACGGCCAGATCAGACTGGCTAACACCCCCTTCCCTTCACATAGTCAGGGTGGGGCCAGGCTGCATGCCTTCTACCTGTGGGGCCAGGTCATGTCCCCTCTCCCTGTGCAGCTGGTCTGGGGCTGCCCCATGCCACCTTTTCCATTCCACAGGGCCAGGCCATGTTTGTTTCCCTCCTCCCAGGTTGGGGCTAGGTCCTGCCCCCTTCCTTCTGCAGGGAGGAACCATGTCCCCTCCCCCTGCACAGCTGATTCAGGTTTGGGCCATGCCCCCTTTTGTCCTGCCATGGGGATGGGCTACTCCTCTTTCTCACCTGCCCAGGCAGGTTGGGGCCAGGCCATGTCCCCTCCCCTCTTAAGGCTTGATCAAGGCTGGTAATGACCCTTCCCCTTCCCCCTCCCACTCCCTGCAGGGCCAGGCTGGTCTGGGCAAGCCCCTTTCCCCATGCAGCTGAATCAGGACCAGGCTGCTCCCCTCCCTGCATAGCTGAATGGAGCCCCAGATGCTGGATTGGGTCCACCAGCTGCATCTAGTCCATGGAGGGATCAGGCGTTACCCATCTGGCCTGCTGGACAAAAAGGGTGAGAACCACTGGTTGAAGGCATGAAACTGGGGCCCAGGTAATCTGGATTAAATTTTGGGCTCTGTCACACATTCTTTGTGACTTGTGACAGATGATTTACTCTATCTCCCAACTTCCCATTTGTGAGATGGGAATAATAATGGTAGCAAGTAGTGTAAACAAGATACTGAATTTTAAACATAGCATTACATATGTGTTTCGAGTACTGCTTGTGGTGCATCTCACTATTTCAAGTCCAGTCCACACTAGGGATTGCATAGTTGCTAATACTGGGAGAGACGGATCAGTGAAAGTGACTGTGTTGATCTTTAGAAGGGGTTTTTGCCTTCTTCTGTAGCAGGGAGCATGGCCCTCTATCTGGGAACTTTTGAGCATATATTAACAACCTTTTACAGAAGTAGGACATTAGCTGCAATAGTTCCCCTACCTCACTTGTTGCAGATTACTGTGTTGTCTTATTTTATGTTGTGGTTGATGCTAGTTTTACTAAGGCTAAGTACAGAGAGTCAAAAAGCCCGAGGCTGAATTGATTTAATCTTCACAGGTTAGTGTAAGCTGTGTAGATTGAACCAACAAGGAAGTGAACAGACATTCACATTTGATTTCGGAAATGCAGCCATATGCCTGCAGTAGCCCAGGTTAGAAGCTGGAGGCCATTAGATCACACCTCCCTGTTTGGCTTGAGCAGACAGAGCCCACTCTGAGAGGGGAAAGTTTGCAGGGGAGGTGCAAAGCATCCTGGGATGCTGGGGGACTGTGAGTTAACTTGAATCTGGAGGGGATCTGGGACAGAAGTTCAATAAACCAATTTAACTTGAATTAGTTAAGTCTGATACTACATCCATTCAGGTTTATCTTAAACTGGGTTTGGCCATTTTGAAAGCAGTTTATGTGCACTGAACTTCTGTTGTGTTACAGATTTGAGCTGGTTTCCAATCACTTATACCAGTTTATGTGTAATTTCTGTCCCTAGACTAAACGGTTAGATTATGGATTTCTAAAGAATAGGGATGATGATCCTGCCTCAGGGAGTGAGTTGGACTAGATAACCTCTGGTGGTTCCTTCCAGCCATGGGTGACCGGTGCAGCCTTAGTCAGGAGGGGCACATGCTCCCCAGCGGCCAGTCAGCAACCGGGAGGGGATCCCCCGCGGCTGATCGCAAGGCGGCCGATCACTCTGCAGCCGCTTCCGGGAGTGGCTGTGGCTGTGGCTGCGGCTGCAGCTGTTTCTGGGAGCACAACAGCGCTCTACTCCCCGGCTGGCGCTTGCAGAGGGGGGCACTGGTGCTCCTGCCTGCCCCCCCTACCCATCGCGTAAGTGGTGAGTGCAGCACGTCAGTGGGTGCACTGATGCTCTCAGGGGATGCATGTGCACCCCTGTGGACCCCCTACGCATCGCCACTGCTTCCAGCCCTACTTCGCTATGATTCTACATTAGTATTTACACTGTGAATCTTTACAAATTCCCACTCTTGGATAATGAGCAACAAACAAGAAATACAAATAGAGGAAATCAGGGTTTTGGAAGTCTGGATGAAGTAAATATCTGTCAAGAAATATGGGTAAGAGGTGATTACAAACTACATAAATGGAATGAACAGGACATTCATCCAAGACTTACAAAACAGAATTTCTATTCCAAAATGAAGTCATGTGCATGGGCCCTATCTTGCTCCCACTGAGGTCAATGGAAGTTTTGCTACTGACTTCACTGAGTACAAGATGAACTCCGTATGACCAAGTTTAAACTGGGAAACTCCAACTTATGTTCTTCAGACCCTCTGACACATCCAGTTCAGCACTAATGTACACAAGAAAAATGTTAGTGTTGTGCAACAAAAAAAAGCTCATGAGCAAACAGAAGAAATGATCAATTATGAGGAAAAAAACAAAAAACAAAAAACCCAACAGTTTGGAAAATATAACCAACAGTAGACAAAAGACTTACTTCTCTTGATTGCTGCCTTAATAGATGACAGGGGTCCTTGGCTTGAAAAAGAAAAAGTAAAAAAAAAATAACTACACCAGTAACCCACAGGAGAAAAAACAAGTAGACCACATCATATAGAGCTTCACTGCCAAGTGGAAGAAAGCTGACACATACAAACATACACCACAACACCTGTTGGCTCTTACTAAAATAAAAAGGGCAGGTTTGCATTTTATGCCCAAATTCATTTTTCTCCACATTTATTGTGGTACAGAAGTTTGTCCCACACTGCTGAAGAATCTACCCACATCCAACCCCTCCTAATGAAAACCAAGACACAACTTTACATTTAACATCATCAAAAACACACTAAGCTGATTTTCTTCCAACTATTATGTTCTCTGAATGTGTGCTGAAGTTCACATTCTGTTGCGTGTCTGATTGGAAACCTTGGAAGACAGCCATTGTGCACATATCAACAGATTACTTAGTATTTTATAGCTAGACATTCTTGTGAATAAATTAAATTTGCATGCAGTAAGCACTCATAGGTCTTCTGCTAATTATTTTCAATAGCTACTGTAAAAACTTTTGAAAATAATTTATTCAGTTGGGTTTGTAGGTTTCAGTGATAACCTATGAGGAAAAAAAAATCCCATGTGACTGGAGGTTTGTTCATATGTTAAGGACTGAACAAATCTATTTCCTTTTGCTAAGTTTTCTTAGCAGGGATGAGGCTTCGGGAATTTCTTTTCCAACAGTCTTAATTAATCCAGGAATACAAATACTTCTTGTTTTGCAGTTAAAATCCAAAAAGAACTTGACAGCACTTTTCATTTTACCAAAGTCTTAGTTACTTCAACCAAATGATACTGAGACAAGAGACACCATTAGCTACCTTAAAAAAAATCACGTCACATATCCCTATTCTAAAGCCATTTTTTCCCTCTTTTTTTAACAACAGATAAAAATGAAGATGTATTTCTCAACAAGAATGGTTTTGAAATCCAGATAGATATAATTTGTGCTAGAAGCAGTACAATAAATACAGTCCATTTTATAGAGACGGAGACTACAGAAATCTTTTTTGGACAATCTTTCACCCTTGTGTTGCCACAAAGGATAGCAACAGC